CAGGAACAGGCTTTTGTCCGCTTTGGAAGGGGTTAGGAATGTTAGGAGGGGGAGAGGGGTCCGAAATGTGCTTAAGTGCATATAAACGAAGATTGACGCTCGCTCAGCTTGCTTCGAGAGCAGGTTGAAGATTCGGAGTTCTGAAGCAAAATTTTTCCGTCGTTTGCTGCACAGATAGCACAAATCTGCTTGGTTGGCTCAACTCTACTGACACTGGGTTACCATCCTGTACAAAGCCATTACCATTGCCCTCACGTTGTAGAGTATTCCCCCACTAAACTATAGTTCTGATATGTTTCAGGTTCGATTGATGAGTACAAGCTTTTGGAGGATATGAATATGGCAACCGCTCAACGATATGTGGACATGCGTGCCGTTGCGGACAAAGTATCCGAGAAGCTAGTACGCCTAAATGATAAATGTAAGATCGCAGCAGTGGTTCGGTGTTACTTGGGACGTGTGATTAACGTTTGCGGGGTGTTTATGGTTAATGCCAATGTTTTTGGCTGGCGAAGAACGCATCTGCATTGCTGCAACTCGCCCCGCCCATAGTGGGCGGGGCTGTCGGGGCGGAGCTTAGTTCCCGATGTCGAAGAAGGATATTGTGGGATGCAAATAGAGAAAATAAATTGGACAGTGCATCACTCAATACGTTGTTTGTCTGACGTAAGTCCGAAATCACATCTGTGATTACTTTATCCAGACCAACCTGTGGTTCCATCTCTCGGGGTCAGTTATAATAGGTGCCAGACTTGTTGGGGAGAATAAAAACTGATTTGAACTTGTCTGGCCCTTTAGTCCAGACTGCGACACTAGTACGCTTCAGAATCGAAGTCGAAAGCTGACCGATTTCGAAGTTTTCCCGGTGTATTCAATGCCTTGACGAGTTTGGGAGTCTTATACAACTCATGCATTTATTTGAATCAGAAAACAATCCTGGATAGGGAGTTTCATAGGCTCTCATAATTTGGTATCCTAGGCTTTTGGTATGTATCTAGAATTACAATATTTCTTATTTACTGACTGCAGCTCGGTTTTCAGACGAATCACTTCGTCCATACTTACAACAAATTGATGAAATGGATGAAAGTACACGCAGATTGGAGGAAGCAGCAAACATTCTCGACCAGTATGTCACGGCTTTAGGTGAGTTCAAAGGACCTTTTCAATCTAAAGCCATTATCTATTTCCAATACATTGTGATCCACTTAAGGCACCATATGCTCGCTCGTAGTAAAATGATTTCCTTCGATAGTTAGCAGTCTTATGTACAGAAAATCCATCACACTCGGTGGTTACGTTACCTTGCACACCCTTAATTATGTAAACAACTTGTGGGCGCTATCACAAGACACGGGGGCATTGTGGTGGCAGTGCATCTCGAATCGTAAAATATCTCCACCTTGTTGAAAAAGGGACTGAGCTTTAGGACACATTCTAGGGTACGTGAGAATTTTAATTTCCTAAAGCTCCTGTCCTCCACTAGGCTTATTCCCGGAGAATGCCCTGTATCTTACGATGGTGCCACCCTTTGTATCATTGTTGATGAAATTATTGATAGGTCAGTAATACTGGGAAAATGAAGAAGGATAAAGGGTTTGAGGTTGATCAATCCTCTCTTGGGATGCGGCACGCATTCTACTTCCATTTTAGTGGCGTTTGAATGCGATGTGGCCTATACAATGACTTGCGGGGGCCAGCCGATGTACAAGTCAGTGTTTTTATCCTCCCAGACAAGTCTGGTACCAATTAACCGACCCCGGAGGGATGGAAGGCTTGGTTGGCCCGGACGACCCAGGATTTGATCCCCGGACCGCTCGCATGGTAAGCGCGCCACTTGCCATCACCACTTCCGCATTCTGGAAATGTATAAAAAAGGTAAAGGCCAAGATACTTGCAATATGGTGCTCGCAATGTGTTCTAGTGATAAAGGTTTCTTATGTTATCGTCTCTGTATATGAATACCCGAGTATTATTTTTGACCGTTTTTTTTTATCTCGATGGGGTCAAAATAATTTTTTTC